AACACATCTTTAATTTAAGTTAAGCGGGGGCATGCTGCCGGTTCACACGCTTACTTGTTCCACCATATATCAACACTTTTGCTATCATCTTATCATAATTATTACCGGTCAAAATACACATATACATGTATAAAATCTAATCTAACCGAATCACGTGTGAGTCTTCTCTATAGGTAAGACTTGATGTTGATGGCATACATACAAACCTAATTGGCTAGCTGCAACTTGGTGCTTTTCTATTGTATTTATAACCCCTTTAAATGGAGACTTGATCAAACCCTCTACACCTACATTAATTCCATTCCAAAACCTGTGAAGTAATAAAAAAAATAAAAGAAAAAAAAGAATGGCTCTAGAGACAGTTATTTTCCAGCAAGACCCGTTTGCCTACTGCTACAGGGATTACGGCAGTTATGGAGAATTACAGGCTCCTCAAGAACCGGTATTATTAATGGAAGGCAATATTGGGAATGAAGATGTGGTAAACGTTAACTTGCGCACGAGGAACAAGAGGCGGAGGTCAAAGACGAAGGTGATGAAGAACAGAGAAGAAATGGAGAACCAAAGGATGACACACATAGCTGTCGAGAGGAATCGAAGGAGGCAGATGAATGACTATCTCGCCATCCTTCGATCCCTTATGCCCCCTTCTTATGCTCAAAGGGTATGTATGTATGTATGTATGTATGTATGTTCTATGTTCGGGTTGCCATATTTGAAATGTTAGAGAAAAAAATGCAATTGTCTCATATATAATTTATTTCTTATTATCTTTGGTTGTGTCACATAATAAGACACTTGTATAAACAAAATTTACTTTCAAAATATGGATGGATTAGGGGAAAAAAATGGGGTGGGTAGGGGTGGGNGGGCGTGGTTGCATGCATGTACATCATTTGGTAGTTAGTTAAATTTGTTGGTGTAAACATAACATATTGTGCACTTACAAATTACCTACAAGGATAAGTAATATATATCTGAGAAAAATGCTATAGATACATAATATTGTATATAGTGGTGTACATAACACGCACATTGAGTGGGACCTACCAAAAATAAAAAATCAAGTGGACCCCACTCTATGTGAGTGTTATGTACACCTCTATGTACATTTATTATGTACTTGTAGCATTTCCCTATATCTCAAGCTATTTCATTGATAAATAAATGGCTAAGTTGCAAAATATAACGAGTATCTTGTCTGCTGTGTTAATAATAGTCACCATCTTTACGAATTTGTAATTGTAGTCAGCAATCCTTAAAATTTTGGGTTTATTACTCAAATCTGGTCAAATTTGACGCTGTAGACAATAATACCGGTCGAATTCAGTCGCACTTGAGTAATAACTTTAAAATTTTAAATATTGTTAGCTATTATTATCAATTTGCAAAGATTATGACTAGTATTGTCACAACGTACAAGATACTGACTATATTTTGTAATTAAACCTTAATAAATAAATCGGTTGTTTTTAACATGAACATACATATATAGGGAGATCAAGCATCAATCGTTGGGGGCGCCATAAATTTCGTGAAGGAACTCGAGCAACTTCTTCAATTTCTGGAAGCCAATAATCCGGCAAACCAACACTCCAACACATTCTCCGACTTTTTCACCTTCCCACAATACTCCCAATCTCCGGACACCGCTGGTGAGCGGCGGCTGGGAATTGCGGACATCGAGGTGGCCATGGCCGAAAGTCATGCAAACATCAAGATATTGACCAAAAAACGGCCCAAACAGCTCCTCAAGCTGGTGGCCCGCTTCAAGTCCATTGGGCTCACGGTTCTCCACCTTAACATCACCACTCTTGACCAGTCCATATTCTACTCCTTCACCGTCAAGGTACCAAATTGTGATTTCCATTTTCACCCTTGTCGTACGTATTTGAGAACACGCGAATAATTATTCAATCATCGGTAAATGTTAAAATGAATAATAATTATTTGTAGTAACAAATAATTACTTTTCACATGACAAAGTAAGATTACAAAATATTTCAAATTGACTTCACAAAATTGTATTTCACGTGTCCGGCCATACAAATTATCCAATAATTTAATTCAATGTCCAAAATGAATATGCTTTTTTTTTTTTTTTANTATAATTAACGGTGTATAATATAAGTTACAAACACATGCAGATTGAGGATGAATGCGAGATGACTACAGTGAATGAGATAGCCACAAGTGTGCATGACACAGTGCTAATGATCGAAGGCCAGTGCGTGGTGTAGCTACGCCAGCCCCACCCCCCGTGGGAGTCATCCTGGCAAAAATTATACGGGGACATTTTTGGGTCTCAATCATTTGGTCCTCTCTATGCATAATTTTTATTCTCCATTAGAAAAAGACACAACTTGTCACTCGAACTAGTATATGTTATTTTATGTAGGTCTATGAGCATTCTGTACCATATATATAATCTGTTTTTAATCAGGAGCCATTAGTTTAAAGTCCCGCTTGGGTTTGTTTTTATATTAGGTAGAAATATTCAATGCCCTACGTCATGTGTGTATTAAATTATTGATGAAGGTAACGACAGTAGCAATGNCCTTGCAGCACCCCTATAACTTACCAATTTTTTGTGTGTTGATTATTATACTAAAAATCGAGATAGACCTTGCGGCTAGACATGGCCACGCGGAGGCACGAGTAAATGTGCCTGGGCTGTAGTCCGGGCAGTAGCACTACCGTGTGTCTTGGTACACCTAGCTAGGTATGCCAGGGTAAATTTGCACGGCCCATTCACCCCAAAAAACTAGAAAATTTAGAGAGTGTAGTGCACATTCCCATTTTTTTTAAAAAAAAAATGAGACATATTACATAAATTAAAATATCATTAATTATTTATATTAAAAAAATAAAAAAAAAATACCAAAATTCATAATTTTTCATTATCTATAAATAGAGACCACATTTGATAGGTTTTCAAGCACAACTAATTTTTCATTTTTTCGTAATTATTTTATTATACTGACATATAATGAACATGTTACATAACAAGATGAATATGTTTTCAAATAAGATGAACATGTTACAGATTGGAGATTGAAATAATACATATTCATCTTATTTTATAACATGTCCATCTCATTTTGGTAACATATTCATCTTATTTTATAACATGTTCACCTTATTGTGTATGTAACATGTTCATCTTATTCTATAACATGTTCATTTTATTATGTAACATGTTCATCTTATTCTATAACATGTTCATTTTATTATGTAACATGTTCACCTTATTGTGTATGTAACATGTTCATCTTATTCTATAACATGTTCAGTTTGTTATGTAACATGTTCATCTTATTCTATAACATGTTCATTTTATTATGTAACATATTCATGTTATTCTATAACATGTTCATTTTATTATGTAACATGTTCATCTTATTTTAAAACATGTTCATCTAAATTTCATCTGTGAAAATGTAACATTTTCATCTTATTCTATGACATGTTCATATTACTCTATAACATGTTCATCTTACTATGTAACATATTCATCTAATTATAGATTTGCATCATAATCTTCAATGATAAATTAATTCTGTTCCAAAAAATATCAAATGTGGTCTTTATTTGTAGAGAATGAAAAATTATAAATTTTGGTATTTTTATTTTTATTTTTTGATACAAAATATGAATGATAATTTAATTTATATAATATGATATATGAAATTTATTACCCCATAGAAATAGGACACATGTCTCATCTAAAAAAAAATACTCTACCTCTTTACCTTACGCGTTTTTGAAGGAGCTGTATTTTACAAAAGGCTCTGGCACACCTAGCAAGGTGTGCCAGGGCGCACGTAAGTATTTGCGGTAGTCCGGGTGCCTCTTCCATGTCATCCATTAGTCTATTATATTTTATTCTATTTGGTTTTCAATTCAGCCCGTGGGCAGTAGTTTAATATATTTTCTTATCTTTGGTTTTCAATTCAGCTCGTCGGCGGTGAGTGGCCAATTAGTTAAGATTAACACATATTTCACATAATATTGCAAGTTTTTTCAATTTATACTTTAGAATTTTTTTAGAATTTTATTTTCCAAATATGTAGTCCTTTAATCAGTATTATTATACAGTGTTTTAAATTCTATTGAATTTATAGGTAATTGAAGGTTTATGAACTTGATAAAAGATTTGAGCGGGACTGGTATTTATTTAGAGATAAATATTTACTTGTTAGGTTAACTAACGAGTGTGTAGCCCGTGCGATGCACGGGTAAACAATATGAAATAATAAAAGAACATAATATACCGTATATCAGTTTATTGTAAACAATATAAAATTATCTTGTATAAAAGAACATAAAAAATATACACGGATGAGCTTGCCTCTCTAAACATTATTTAAAAAATTTATTTTAAATGTAATTATCTTTATTTAATCATATTATTATGGGAAAACTTTTTAAAATCTCAACTTTTAGATATGAATATATTTGTTGATAAACGGATTAAATCAACGTAATTAAGATAAAAAAAACACAATAAGAATTGCAGAGAATATGATTTTTATTGTATTCTTTGAGGTTGGTTACAATTTCGATTAAGTCGGTATTTTGATACAGGTGGTCAGAAACCGAGAAAACCGAGGTAATAAATGAGTGAATTTAATGCCTCCAAAAGAACCCCCGTACTGTCTTTATTGCTGCTATTTATAGTTATGTTCAGCACACCTCCCAATATAAATCAGCTTTATTTAATGTGGATTTGACGGCTTAGGGGCGGCTATGACGTTGGCATGCTTTTTAGGCAACGATGAGCATGGGCGCTCCTCTATTTGTGTGACAAGCGTCACTTCTGTCGGCTGAAGTCGGTTTCTCCACGACATCGGCTTTTCTATGGACTTTTAGTTTTCTATGACCTTCAACAGACTATTCTTGAACCGAGTTCCTAATCCCGAGGTATCAGTGTTCAGTATTGATGACCTTTAAGGCCACTATCTGTCTTGGAAAACGAGGTGGTCATTCCGAGATGGCCATTCCGAGATGCTGAGTCGACGCCGAGTTTGATGCCAAAGAACTGTTTTGCGATTCGATCCTTATGATGCCTTTTATCTATCCTTTATCTTTATAGTTTTTTTTTTTTTTATTCTGATATCAACAATATTCATGTTTAAACATCTATTAGATATGGGTTGATATATATAAATATATTCTCATACTTATTCAAGTTTATTTATTAGATATAAACATATTCAAGTTAAATTTCTATTAGATATGGTGGAGATATAAAAAATAGATATTATAAAAGATGTTTTTTATATAAAATAATTTCTTGAATATTGAGTTGGAAACAATATTTAAGTCCATCTTTCGCCACATATCCGCTAAGTTTTGAAAAGTTTTAGATTCATATTTTATTAAAAAAAACTGTTGATACCCAATTTGGCTCCGGTTATTTAAATAATATATAAAATAATAAAATACGGACCGACAACCAAGGAGCCGAAAATACGTGATAAGTAAATATACAGGTACCCAAGATTGATTATCTAAAAGCCAACTGGGTCCTCAGATGGCGAGTCTGCCCGTTGCTGAGCCGAACAGAATCCGAAGAAATCAGATGACACGTATATCACAAAAAGCCGCCTCCAGTAAATGTCACAATTGTCGAAGGGACAGACGTCAGTCGAAATCAGCAAAAGCTACAAGTGGACCCCGCGATGGTTATATCACATTAAATAATAGTGTACAATTATTTGTTTATTTAATTATCCACTTGCAAGACAGTGAAAGAGATGTATAAATATGTGTAAAGAGGAGAGAGAAAGGGGCTCCTCATGATTCTTCCTCCTACAACCAAGAGAGAAGGAATTTCTCCCAGAAAGATAGAAAAGGGAACACACATTTTTTAGGATCTTGCTTTTTATCTTCCTAATAAAAATTCGATTCTTATTTAACAGTTGATCGTTCGATTTTCGATATCAACAAAAACCTCTTTAGATTTCAAATATATATGAAGATATGTTGGAGATTGGATTCATATGTGTTTCAAACAAAAAAAAAAGTTACATATTCAATTTTGATTATATATTTGAGAAATGTTGGGTTTATAATCTCATACTTTAATTATCTATTAGTTATGAATATATTCAAGTTCAATTTTAAACATGTATGAAGATCCCACAAGTAGCATGCACCATCCTTATGAGTGAGATTTAAAAAAAAAAATAAAAAAAAATTGATTGGACATAAAAACAACACGAATTGATCATAAAAAGCCTTAACATGGTTGATCGGTCGACGTGGCTCGATGGACTCAGATTCCCTTTCACATTGTCAACCCACAGTGCCATCTCTCGTACCCAAGTCAACTGTGAATCTATATGGCAATGGATTAACCAAACTCTTGCATCTAACCAAGAATTAGGAAAAAATTAGTTGAAGTCAAGAAAATAATCGTATCTAACATGCTATGAAAATAAAAGATTCTATACTCGTCACCTGAATTATTTTCCACGAAATGTATCATCGTCCACCAGCCAATTAGGACGTCAGTCGTGTTACGGATGAGGGACACTCCAGACT